GCTCAGTTGAGATAAATTGTCATTATGTCAGGAAAAAACAATAATGACACTTCGGATGACGTTACCTGGAGAACAGACAGCAGGGTGGAGCCGTTCAGAACCAGAAACTGAAGGTTTGGCGAATTGAAGAGTTCTGGTCCGAGATCTGGACTCCCACAGAACGGGTTGTCTTGGTTTTCACACACCTGTGAACAGACGTCAAGTTAGCAAAGTAAAAAAGAAAAATAATAACAAAAACAATACTTAAATGAATCCCTCTCCCTTAGTAAGGAGCTATAAAATCTTACTAGACCAAAAAGTTAGAGCACCTGACTGGACAGAGTTGCGGGCCCTCCGGACATTGGATAATGTCCCAGATGATTCACCAGATGGGTTATAACGGTTCTGGCTGCAATGGAAACCAGGCCTTGCTGGATACGGCTACGAACTGCAAAGAATAAAAGAGTGTTCTTCTAGCTAAGTTGTTTCATTTTAATTTCCCTTTACGTGTGTTTACATGGTATAATTTGTCACATCGTTCACAAACACACAACATCATCATATGATTGCAACAAAGTTGTTGACAATAAATCCACAAGGATCTATCCTAGAATCATGATTATTCATAGTAATTGTTGATCTCTGCCCAAATCATGGCTGTCAAACATATCAGCAGATCTAACAATTCTTAAAATAAGTGGAGTTGACGCGGTTTTAAAAAACTATTTTTCAATTTTGGATTCATGACTTCCTGATATCTCGTGGGGGCATCAAGACGTTTAGTAGGGATTTACTTCTCTCTCCTGCCATCTTAAATGCAAATATTACGTTTCAAAACAATTTTGAAACTCAGATTAGGCTTTTCAGCAACAAACATCCAAGTGGGTCTGAAAGGGTTAAAAGGATATGAATGTGGAAAAACCTCTCTCGCTCACTGTTAAGTATGGCAGAGGATCTGATATGCATTATTATCTGTTATTCTTTCTCTTCCAAAATGCCCTGGGAAATCTGTGAGACCTCATGGGATCATGAACTCTTTAGAAATAAAAGGACATTTAAAATAAAATCTGCTACTTTCCATCAGTAAATTCAAAACATACAGCGAATGTAAAAGTAACCTCCATCTCAGTCCTCAGAACTAATGGAAATTGTTAAGGTGAAGTGACAAAAAAGCTGAACAAAACTAAGATTTGAATGTAAAATTCAGTATTATTTACAAGTTCAATCTTTATGTGCCTTATTCTAACTGAATGAAGGTCGTCCCCCTGCAGAAGAAGCCAGTGTCATCACATACAGCCCTGAAAGTAGATCCTTGTTAATAAACACTGTCACATAGAAACACACACAATGACGCATGCAGACTTCCTAATGAGTCCTTATTGACAGATTGATTGGTGAGTACAGATATGTATTGATCGGGCACTCTCAGTGACACCCTAAGCCTCGGGGCTTGGCTCAGGATAAGGAGACAAAATGAGAAAAAGAAAGAAAACGTAATGAAGGCAGTAGGATGTTGCAGAAGTTAAAAATATAGCCAAAGAAAAACGAGAAGAGACGAGAAGAGAAGACAAGGCGAGAGACGAAAAGAGGAGAGGGGAGAAGAGAAGCATGGTGTATCAAGGTGAATCGGTCATTAGACTCCTCTCTGAGTCCCGTTGGATCATGAGTCCCGTTGGATCATAGCAGGAGGCAATAAAGTCACTCGCATGGAGTGAGCAGGAAGGTGTGTCTGCATACACATACCTTTCCGGTCAAATTGTGCAAAGATTTTGTAGATTTGTGTGCGCGTTTCTGTTTCTGTGTCCGTGCATCACTTTGCATGAGCGGAACACGCGTCGGCTCATTACAGAGCTAGATTGGATAAATTACCTTCAGTGACGGGCTGCAGTTTGCTGGAGCGCTCCGAGTCTGGGCTGTGCAGAGGTTCTGGTTCGCGGAGGCTCTCCAATGGCAGGAACGGGTCGTAGTCTGAACTCGACAGGTCCGACAGCTGCAGTGGGAAGTACTTGGGACTGCTGAAAGACTGCGCTCCATAAACGCACCCATGCAGGACCTGTACATGTTACAAGGAGAGCAGTTTTAAAAAAAAAAAAAAAGCCCAACTATGTCTGTGAGTCTGTGTTACTCTGGCCAAGGCACTGCAGCAGCTACAGACACGTTTACCTTGTAAATACAGCTGAGCAGCGTTTTGGTCGGTTGCTCCTTTTCTGGAGGGCTTCGTGTTTGTACAGGCTGGAGAAGAGTCTTTGGGGGCAGAGCCATCACCCAGTCCAACAAGCACAACAGAAGGGAAACTACTAGCTGCAGAAAACACAGCAAGACATGCATGAACCCGCTTTCTCTGGACGTCTCGTTCTACAGAACATTTTAAAAAGCATACAGAGATTTGTTACCCTCTTATCCAGCTCGTAAGAGGAGGACTCGGTGCTAGGCAGCAGATATGTGATAGTGGCAATCAGAATCTAAAGGGGAGGGTGGGGGAGGCAAACCTAGTTTAGGACTTTAAAATTGTAGTAATTTTATAAAATGGAAAATCTCTAATATGGAAAAGTACCTCTACAATCTTCTTTGGAGTGTCAGGGGGGAATTTCTGAAGATGATCCACGTAACTGATGAGGAGGTGAAGGATGTCTGAGGCCACCAAGGCTACCGTCTTATTGGGGTACTAGGAAACGGAAATAAAATTATTTAAACATAACCTAAAGTGAACAGAAAAAAACTAATCAGATCTCCTCTTGTCATTACTTATTAAACAAAGACAAACAACATGAAAGAAAGTAGAATATACAATGTTTCAACAACCTGTATAATCACCTTTAGCAGCAATAACTTTTATTAACCGTTTTCTGTTTGTTACACCATTTTGTTACAGAATTTTGGCCCACTTTTATTACCGTTCTTTGAGATTGAATGAAATGAAAATAAATATATGGTGCCTTTTTAAAAAAAACAAAAAAAAACTATCTGCCCAATAATAAAATAAACAAGCAAACTCTATAACCAGGTTTTTGTTGAAAATTGATTTACAGAAAGGCTCATGCACCTTTGTGTCATTATAGCACAAGCCTACAATATCTAGCATACTCATTGTGATTATTTTTTTAATCTGAGCTCTGCAACCCAGAGGTAAATTTAAAAGTTTGTCAATGTTTGTGGTGCTATTTACCACGAAATTAAGATGAATGCAGAAACACTAATACATTAGAAATCATTTAAATCATAATAATAAAACAATCCGCTACATAAGTTTTGAATTTTTGTAAGAAGCTTTAAAACGCCATATTAACATTAATCTCTGTCAAATTAAACTAAAATCTGTAGCTGTCAGTAAACTGCATAATGTCACAATAAAACTCAGAGTGATTAATGAGAAAAGGCTGGATTTAAACCTCAGGCACAAACAAGAGCCAACGCCCGAAAACCAAAAATGCTTGTTGATGAAAGGAAAGGAAGATGAGGCGGCCAAGAGGAGGAAGTGGCTCTGCATGGAAATATGACAATCCCTTAAGCTTTGTGTATAATTGTGTGTACATGTAACAGAGCCTGTAGCTGAGGCGACTGGCTGCTGCCACCAAGGCAGGAGATTCAGAATTGACAAAGACATGAGTGTATATTTATGTAAGAGAGCGAGTGTGTGTGTGTGTGTGTGTGTGTGTGTCGCAGCTTGCAGCATTCCCTTTGGATTAGGCTCCTATCTGAAGGAGAACCAAACATATTTGCAGTCCAGGTTTTGCTCCCAAGAGCAAGTGAATGGAAATGTGCACTGGGGCAGTTCCTTTAAAAAAAAAAAAAAAAAAAAACATTGGCTGCCGATACACAAACTGGGGATTCCAAGGTCGAAAAGGTATGTGTGTGTCTGTTTCTGTCCGTCTAGAACCACTTGGCTCGGGATGAGACAGTAAATGTTGGACAGCATTGTTCTGATCCACTGGCCTGTCATTACAGAGCCGGACAATAACAACTGCGACAGTTTTACAAAGAGCAGCAAACATCTCCAGTCGCAAATATTAGGCTGTTATTCTGGTGCAACCAAATGATCTACAACTAAAATGTAAGTAGATATTTCTCTACATAAAAAAAAACTAATAGAGTTATACAGTGAATGGTAGAAATCAAGCATCATAAATTATTTTTTAGAATTTTTCAAAAGAAAATTATATTATTTGAAAATCTGAATTATCTCCTGCAAGACAATAAATGGAAGAAATTTTGGCCTTTAATTAAATAAATAAATAAAAATAAACATATTCTGACTATATGTGCATTAACTTACTAATTTAAACTTAAATTTAGAGACTACATTTATGTACTTACATCAGGGTTCCTACAAATTTTTATGTCAAATAGGGCTGCCACCATCTAACTACCAATTCTTTTTTTCTTTCAGCTATTAACTGAGATTTTGATTAAACAGATTAATCTAAAATCAACAGTTTTCTCCAAATTTATTTAAAATTCTTACATTTACAGAAGAACTATGGAAAAAGTACAGGAATGCTAATCAAGCTCAGGGATGCTGCTAATGATAATTTTAGTAATGGATTATTGTTCCAACTATTCTGACGATTAATCAAAAAAAACAAAATTTATTCAGACGTTTTCTCATTTAACCAAGCTTTTAACCCACTAATAAATGGATATCAAACTGGGCTTAGTGGGAGATTTTGTTTTTCAGAATCTCAACCAGGTGAAGCTAGAATGAGTTCTGGGTACAACATATTTACAAAGACGGTTTTTCATCTTAAATGCAAAATGTACAAATGTTTGTACATTTTTTGGTTTATTTAATGCACTGAGAATATTATTCTTACAGCCTTTTGGGGTTAGAAAACTCCAATTCACAATTAGTCAGTTGCTAAATTAGTTCACCATTATTTGAATAATTGGTTCATCATGATTAATCTGACTGTTTCAGCCTTAGCAAAGGTATGTAATTAAGTATTTATTCATTCATGTTGAGGAGAAAAAAACAACAACAGATGCTTAAACCAAAAAATGTTCGCTTCCTCACAGATTCAAAGTCCATAATTTGACTGAGGTTCAATCCAAACACCCCACCCCCCCCCCCCCCCCCCCCCCCCCCCCCCCCCCTCCCTCCCC